GAAATGGCATATAACTTGCAGAATGCTTAGTCCTAGTATTGCACCATTGATGCACAGATTTAGTTGCTAGTCAAAATATTTGACCACTAACTTGATAATCACATTCCAATACTCAAGAAGTACATCTAAATGTACCAGCAAGCCAGAGACATCTTGGAAACTCAAAAACTTCTAACAAACCTGAGGATGAAATGGGTTGATCTTGTCTAACTTTTTGCTGTGCTGTAAGAAAAATGCCAAATTAGTATGCTATTATTAAATTTAATAACTGCTTTTTTCCAGGGAAAGGTTTTATGTCGAGAAGGCCTGAGTGATGGGGGGGGAAGACTTTATTCTACATGTGATAAAACTGGATTCCTCTAAATGAACCAAAAGGAGGATTTAGCTTTACAAGTGAAGGTTGTCTACTTTGAGCTCTGTGATAAAACACTCTCACCCTTTTCTTTTTTATAGGCTCCTTATGTGGATGTCATTTGTGTAAATAGCTACTTCTCCTGGTATCACGACCCAGGCCATCTGGAGGTTATTCCACTACAACTCACAGCACAGTTTGAGAACTGGTATAAAACCTACCAAAAACCCATTATCCAGAGTGAATATGGAGCAGACTCAGTCCCTGGACTTCACAGTGTAAGTGTTATAGATGCTCAAGATGGAAAAAAGCACTGCTCTTCTTACAGGGGCAGCAAAGTTTAATTAGAAGAGGTGGGTACCACTGAGCCTGACTTAGCTTTGAGAGTTCACAAGCGTTTGAAAGACTCCAGGATTGTAATCCTGCTCCAGTGAAATCAATGAGCTGTGCTACTAACAAAGATTAGATTCTACCTAGAGAAAAGTTTTTAGCTTTGACTAAAAGCACTGAGCACCAAAATCTGCACTTCAGCATTCACAGAAAATGCTTACTTGGAAAACAGGACACTTCATGAGGCTGTCCCACTGTGAAGGGGTGGCACTCCTACACCTATCACAAAGCACCAAGTAAAACCACAACTTCCCCCCCAGGCATCCCTGACATTATGTTTGTACTGTGCTTCCCCTAGTGATTTCAGTAGTTGCTAATTGTCACAGTTAATGCAGCTGCAATGGAAAGGCCAAGCAGTTGTTGTCTTGAGGAAGCAGGTCCCAAACAAACAGGGAGTAAACATACAGAGCTTTTGCTGAGATTAACTGTCACTTCATTCAAGGCCACCTCTTTTCCCTGGCTGTAGGATCCACCTCTGATGTTCAGTGAGGAGTACCAGAAAGCAATGCTAAGGGAGTACCATTCAGTTTTTGACAAGAAGAGGAAAGAGTATGTGATTGGGGAGCTCATCTGGAACTTTGCAGACTTCATGACCAATCAAGGTAAGCTTGTATTTATATTCTAACCAACTCTCCAGCCTCCATGCAAGCTTAAAATGGTTTATGACACACAAAGAATATTGTGCTGTAGGGTAGGACAAAAGGGCCCTCTGCTTATCAAGCTGGTTTCTGTGACAAAGCCAAGAGGGAAGGTCCTGCCTGTACTTAATGCATCCTCCCTCCACGTCTCAAGCTCTTAGGTGTTCCCTCTGCAGAGATGCTCCCCAGAACACAAGACAACATGCTAGGGCAGAATGCCAAGGAAGCTTGTGAGCAGACCCAGATTACTGCTATTTCTTGGCTATCCTCAATTCAGAACTTCAGTCAGCTGTTAGGGATATGCCTCACTTGCTTCATATTTCATCTACAACTGCCCTTGGTAACAGAGCACCTTAAATAATGTATTATTAACTTGGTAGAGGTTTAGCACTAGAGGACCAGATGCCATTCTGGTAGACAACTGTCTGTCATCATTCTCCATCCCACTATTAATGTGCATTCACAAAGTATGGGGCATTACAGTGCAGACACAGAGAAATTAAACAATTACAGCTCAGAAGGAGACCTAGTAAGAAGGAACTAGTTATGCATATGCCACCTGCACTGAGTTAGGGTGGTGAACAGTCAGTGTTAATTTCAGGCAGAGAAACACCATTCATAACAACCTGTAGAGCACCAATGTAGATATTAGAAAGCTCAATCAGCACAGAGCAGCAATTAGAAAAGTGCTTGTTTCAAACAGGATGGAGAAAACACAGACAAGTTCACATACACATAGGCAGTTCCAGGCTTTCTGCATGTTGCAGTTGTATTTTCTAGTTTCCCATGAAAAAAAGAGGCAAAAAGGACACAAACACTAGTAAAGACAGCACAGTCAAACAGCACTCAACATTTTCACTGTCAAATTCAAGGTGGAACCAATGGCAGAAGGAGTATCTGCTGTAAATACAACACTGATCAAGTTAATGGGTACACCTGAATTAACTGTCATCGACTTACCAGTTGTAACTACAATAAACTGCAGCTGCATTGCTCAGTTACACCATTACTCTTGCCAAGATAACACAAGTTACATCTGCCAGGTTCCCTGTTGTACCTGACTGTGTGGAAGAAAGTGCATACATCTCTTCCATTTAACCTGATTTAGTACATACACTGTAACAGTTCACAGTAGGGGATAAGAGTATTTTATGGACACTTGCTTAATTTTATAACTTCTCTACAGGGACCACACGTGTTTTGGGGAACAAAAAAGGAATATTTACCCGCCAAAGACAGCCCAAATCAGCTGCATTTGTTCTTAGAGAAAGATACTGGAAGATTGCAAATGAATCAAGCTGTCTTCCTCCTGTAATAAAATCACATACTCTCTTTCTAGAATGACATCAAAAGGTATAGTGGCTGAGTACTATGCTGAACTTGTTCATTAAACTTCTGTTTAAATAATATTTATGCCTGACTCAAGTCTTGCAAGTCTAAAGCAATTTCTAGTCCACCTGAAGTAGTTACTGTGCTACAAAGCAGATCAGAAACACTAGTTTCCTATGCTTTAACCATGTCTGTAGGCTTCTTCTTTCCAGGTAGTAAAATGATTATTCGGAGTTTCAAGGAGCTGAAGTTAGAGATCCTGACTGAGGTATCTGGTTATGGCAAAAAAAAAAGCATTACATGTATTAAATGATACAAGTCAATGCTGAGGACTTAAATCCAAGTTACTATAAATGAACATCACATCCCTCCAACGGAAATGAGGGTCTCCAGTTATACTCCCCTAACAGTTACACTACTCAGATCACAGCAGGCTGTCTGCAGGATTACCAAAGAGCACTATATATATATATATTTATATTTATATATATATATATATATATGTTTCCCTTGTGGAACAGAACATACGCAGCTGGCTGAGAAATTCTGAGAGTTCACAGCATTCAGGCATTGTAGAAAGTACTACTGTGAGGATACCCAACATACTCCAAAACAGTACAGAATTCACACTACAGCAGCAAGGTGGAATATGTTAGATAGGTACTACATCAACTGAACTTTGCCTAAAGCTATTTCTTTTACTCACAGTACCAGAACAGCCATTAGTAGATGTGTTTTATCTTCCAGCTTGGAAGGAGGTCCTTCATGTTAAATTGTCACTACGTGTTACAGTAATAGTAGTCTAGAGGGTAAGTTTGTTCTAAACCTTTTTGATAGTAGCCTGAAGCCTTGTGGGGTAGGGCGATGTGTAAATTAATGTGCACATGCTACATTAGACAGTGACGCAGTGTAGAACCATCTCTTTCACGCTGCCCAACAGGCTCAGAGGACCCTAAAGACCAGGCTTCAGACTGCAATAGATGATGCCAACGCTCAGAAAAGCTCAGAACATTCTGCAAACTTCTTATTGCAACATGCCAGGGCTGTCCCAAGAGCAGTGTCACCCACAGCAGAATGCCAGACTGAAGGCTGCCTGCTGCGCTTTGGAAGCTGGTACAATTATGTAGTTGTTTCATTCTGAAGCACAGATACTTTGTGAAACTGTTGCTATGACTGTTCCTGCAACTGGCTCTTCTCCCATATTCTCTTTCCTTTAGATGCAGTACGTTAGATACCAGCTCCACTGTCCACACTGCTACGGGCAGAGTAAGGACGTACATGTTTACTGCAGACTTCAGAACAATTTTGCTTTTAAGGGAAAAGCAGCAGCATAATATCAGCACTCTCTACTGTGTTAGGTCTACACATTTTCTGTATAACTAGAACTCCAGAATATAGAAGTCCATCCACAGTGTAAAGAAACTTGCTCAAAGGTACCATGGGAAAAGAGCAAATACCATACTTCAGCCAACAATGAAAGTCATTGTGACTTTTCGCTCTCTAGACATAATTTCCTTTAAATCATTTTCTTCCCCATTTCAACAGACGTGACACACCACCAACTGCCACATCAGAACACAGATAAAGGTCTGACACTGTTAACTATTACAAACTAGGGCCCAGATCCCTGTGGTTACACACAGGGCTTGCGGTTGCAGAAGGAACTCTATTATCAGTCCAACACAACAGATGCAAAGTTTAATACCCACACGTACAGTAAGCACACATTTCTGTCTTAGCTCCTGCTTGTTCTCAAGAGCTCAGTGCAACCAGAAGCCCAAGCCACCTATCCAACCCTTCCCAGCAGCTCCTCCCTCCCCAAGTCCAGAAGAACACACAGCACTGTCCAGATACTTGGTCATCTTGCTGGGGCAGAGGTAAAGCAGAACTACAGAACCAAGGAAAGCAGGAAGGGATAACAATAACATACTGAACACGGGGGGGGGGGTTTGCACAATGCTTAAAGAACTGTAAACAGTTAAAGCCTCAAGTCAATGCTGCTCACCCTTTACACACCCGTGTGCACACAACATTCAGCAAGACACGATGAAGCTGCAGAAATGCTCTGAACTGGTATCACTGGGCACCCAAGTGCTTTAAATGTTCTGCTGCTAAGAGACAGTATCTCCAAAAACAATCACAGCTTAGTACATGTCTACAAACAGAATTACAGTACTGACTTTAAAAACAGTTTCTAAGGCTCAGACTGAGTCCAAAAAGGCCTCCAATTGGGTTCATTCAAGCTCTTATGTTTGGAATGAATGCAGCATAAGAATGATTGCAGCAAGACATCCACAGGTAATTTCTACATTTATTCTTTTTTTTATACCAAAAAAAGTTATGTGCAACAAATAGAATTCATACATATTTACATTGGTTTACCTGTTAGCAAAATTGGATCCTAAACCTCCAATAGAGGATCTCTCAACCTATATTGATAAAAGGAACATCTGCCCAATGACTCCATTTCAAGGGATGTTTAATTTGGAGTTTAAAGCACTATTAATAAATAGTCGATGGAACATACTATACAGAACAAACACCTAGTATTTAGGCCATGCTTAATACAGTTTTATGGTAGCAGAATACTTCATCTTTTCTGGACCAGTTTTGTCTAGATCACATTTAAACGAAGTTGGCAGAACCAAAGCTAGTAGATCTCTTTAACTTTAGCCCATATAAATTAGGAGCATCAAGTGCTGCCCGAAGCACCTCACCAACCTTTTGGAACCATTGAGAGATCTGTACAGCAGAGACAAACGCATCCTATGGTATGCAGAAACCTAAGAAAGAGATTTGTTGTCACTTTAGATAGCGAAGGTGGTAGGGAATGTTTCATTGGCCTTAGAGTTGCAAACACTTGACAGTAGGAAACTTCCAAGAACGAGACTTGAATGCTTCGTTGGCCTTCAGAGTAGCAAGTACCTTACAGTAAGAGGATTTCAGGAATGTTTAATTCCTAAGAAGTTTTTGGGTTTTTTGCCTTTGCCAATCCTCCACCCCACCATGGAATTTCTAAGAGCCAACGAGGGTGAGGAGAAGCCCAAATTCAGAACCACTGTTTGTATATTATGATTTCTCTCCCCCCCCTTAACCCCCCCATTCTCTTTGAGTGTTGAAACATAACCAGAATCTGTGTAATGCCCCCCTGTCCTGCCAGACCAGGTATTAAGTTACTGGCTTTTCCCCATAGTATCCCCAAGAGTCCTCAAGAATTTGCCTTCAGATTTGTAAGGGTCAAATTAATATCAACTACATGTTAAATATTTGCCACAGAATTAGTTTTGGCTGGGGGCAGGTGGGGGGGGGAGTTGCATGAAGCACTCCTCTGATTTCCATCACATTAACTAATCATAACCTGAGCCATTTTACTGGAAGAAATATGCTGGTCCTATCGTTGGGAGCAACAAGGAAAGAGTCAAAGAACTGGAAGCAGAAAGGTCCAGATTTCTACTACTAACATTATTTTGCCCTTTATTCAGGCCAACTGCATTTCCGAAGCACAAGGGGGGAAGTAGAAGAGTTAGGGCCATTTCTAGCAAATCACTTCCAGTAAAAAGTAACTGCAAGAGAGGAACACAAGACAAGAGTTCACAATTGAGGATCAGATTGGCAAGTTTGTGCACAAAGTGTAGCTGCAAATTCTTCCAGAGACCAAACTCGGTTTCCATTTGATCCCTATGGCCACACACACACAAGGACTGCAGACAAGACTGCACAAAATCTGGCCCTAAACAAGTTTACTAAGCAAACTGAATCAACAGACTATGCCCACACAGACAAGCACAAGACACAGTGAAGTTAGTCAACACCTATACTTTCAGCTGATGGGGCTTTTCTCCTTTGTTTTTGGTGTGCACTACACCCAGAAATTGGACCAAGTGATCACTGGTAATACTTGTCTCCACTGCTGCTTGTTCTGAGGGATCAGCGCTGTGACTAAGCACTGCAGGCAGCACGTGTTCACCTCTTCCTCGGATGAAAAAGATGCCTTAGAGTAGATCACAGGACTGCATCAAAACAAATCTATACAATGTATTAAACAGCGATAGAGCCTCAAGGCTTGTAAGAGAACGAAGTAAAGCCTTGAAGGATCAGTTTGATCAGTTTAACATCATTCACTCCCCTCATATCAAAGTTCAAGGCATTTGAGAGACAGAACTAAACATCAAGACAAGCTTTAACTATACTCTGGTCAATACAAAACGCATTTAATGAATTGTCTAAAACTGTTAGACAAGAGGGACAAGTAGTTTAGTGTTACATGCAACAGATGTTACTCATACCACAGAACTCTATACATAAAAGCAGTTTCCACCTACATCCTTGATACAAACCAGAAAATTACTTTAGTAATTTAAATAGTATTTTGTGAATTCAATCTAAAAAGTCTACTTTTCTCTCTATGGAACACTGCATGTTTCACAGTCAAGTTTATCCTCAACAACTTAGTGTTTAGAATCCACCTAGCCAGACAACATAAGTGTCTCTCTGACATTCATGTTTAAGCAAAAACATCCTAAAATTAGTTAAGCTCATTCTTTAAATAAATGGGTACGCAGTTGGAGTTCTTCATATTTAGAAGCTGACAAGGGCAAAAAGCAGCACAGCACCAATTACAGAAAGTAGCTGAACTGATACATTTTGGTGTCACAGAGTCTGAAACACAAGTACTTTACTTTCCCAAATTGCATCATCAACCTTCAATCACATTGATTTAACTGAAACAATATTGCTACCACTTCTCAGTCTAAAAACTAAAACAGATCTCTTAATACTCTTCTATCCCCAGCAAGTTTGCCTGGGAATTGGTTGGTTTGTTCATTTTTAAAGCAAGGACACTTCTGCCTGCCAAGTTCAACACAAAGTATTTGGTTTAGGATTTTAAGACAGAAGGCACTTTTAACATTCAGCCTTAGAATACTGAGTGCAGAAACAACATTTACGATTTTGTTCCTCTGTTTAAATCTGCAGTTTAATTTTGTTTTATTCCCAGTTAGTTATTAGAAAGAGCAATGATAGCACTGGATCACATTTCATTTTCAGGAGCACATTTACTTACTTATCTCACTAAACAGCGTGCCCTTCCAAGGGATCTTATGTATGTCAGGCCTAAAGTTCATTTCCTAATATAGCACAAACCAAAGATCCCGACGAAGATCAATTAAGGAACTGCTTCTTGGTTATCCTATTCAGTCAGTGGTTTCCACTGCAAATTGCAATTCTATACTGCAGCATTCATATAACATCAAGCATTAGTAACACTGGCTGGCTGACCACAGGTTAAAAATGAAACAGCTCTGCATGGAAATTAAGTCCTTCCAAAGAACTCTGGTACACCAACCCCCAATCTCCATGTAATATCCCAGTGGCAGCTTTCTATTGACCACATTAAGCTATTTCATTCTGTACAGAAATTAATGACGTTGTGGTTTAACAAACGTACTTCAGGTTTCAGCTTTAATTCCACTTCTTGTTACTGAAGACACGGACAAAAAGGAATGAAACAAAACCCAACCATCATTCTCACGACAGCACTAGCAGCGAGTGCAGCAACTCAGTGTTCTACACAGGTCACTTCTTCCATCACGTCAGTCGAGTATTAGCTGAACACTGACAGCTCCTAGGCTAGCAAAACTGATTGTACAGTGAGTTCTCCAGGGATGAAACCAGAATCTCTAGTTTTATTTACAGCATAAGTCCTAGTCAAATCTAAGTCCATCAGCTAAAAAAAAGAAAAGTAATACACATACTGTAAACATGGCAACATTAAATATGGTAAATCCTAGTCTAGAATATTTAATGTCATGATCACATCTTGTTATACCTGAATTTATATACAGGATATTTTATAGCAAGTGTTACCCACTTCACAAGTGGAGGGGGGAACAGAGTCTAGGTTTTGCTGTGGCTAAAACTCCTTCAAAGTAAAGTTAAAGCTTGTCTTTGATTGTATTAGAGCTTTCTTTCATAACCACATTGAAGATTAGCACAAAGGAAAAAGCAATTATCTAGGGCCCCTTCAAATTGATAATTAAAAATTCTGTTATGATTCTCTGGGAAAGTGTCTGATATGGAGAATAAAAAATTACTGCAAAATAAACTTAATGGAAGTTGGGTCTTCAGACTGTCAGTCAAGAGTTCAAACAGGCCTTAGTCCTGTTTGGGTTGGAGTTGCCGTTTCCAGGCCTCGTTCAAATAAACTAGTCGTTTGTAGTTGATGATAAAGAGAATGAAGTTCAGCAAATATGTGATGACGCAGACAATGCAAAATTCCTTCAGCACGAAGTACAGAATGTATGCCAAGTACAATGACCCTACTACAGACACTATGGAGGATGTCATGAGGATTAGAGCTGCTACTGCACTTGCTGTCATACCTGCAACAAGAGAGAGAAAGTTACTACCATTGCTCTCATTCCCCCCCTTCCACACAGAGCAAAAAGCCTAAGCACTCTAATTCAAACAGAAGGCTGCTCAGCAAGTTGGTATTACATAGAAGCCTGTTTAAAATACCATGAGCTCCCAAATTGCTATTTGGAGGGGAGCTTCTAGCTTCTGTACGACAGTCCTTTGATAAGAAGTATGTGTATTAACCATCTTCTGTATTCCTGAGTTATGGGAAAGTTACAGGTTGGTCAAGTTATGTCTGTCAACAGCTTTATAGCAGACCATATAGTCACAAAGAAGTATGTAAGTTATTAATTTCATGCACTTTTTTTCCCATCCCTATTACTCCTGCAAAACTCGTGAATTCCATTTTTATTTCCTCTCTTTTCTGTCATGCAAGACAATGCTAAATACACTGAAGTGAGAATACCAGTGCAGCAACTCTCTTGATGCTTATAGTATAACAGGAGAAAAATGCAATTGCTTTGGTTATCAGTTGGGGTTTTAAGCCCTTTGGAGAGATGTGTCATTAGACTGGTGCTAAAATAGATAAAAATCACATGCATTTGTCTGGTCTCCTGCAGATTACACAATGTGTAATACACTCATCGCCACAGAGCTTCACTTGAGCCTCAAAACTGAATTAATACTTACCAAGCAGCATTTGTAGTATATAAAACACGAGTCCAAAAACACTGTTTGACTGATTTATTGCACTGTCCTTTCCAAAGATGGAACCCAACAGACCGAATCCTCGACCCCATCTGTAAAACAGTGAAACTAATTAACTCTTATTCGGGTACCTGTTGCTTTACATCAGTATTTTCAGTTCAGCACTGTTGAGGAATCCAGAAAACCCACCCCTCACACACACCATATATTCTGACATGACAACCACAGTCTTATACGAGGTTCAGTTATCCTGGAAAACCAAGCAGCTTGCAACATGGGGTGCACTACATAGAACTTCATCCTGCACGCTGCTGGCCGAAGTTATTTGACACACCAGAAACTACCCAAATCATATGGTTGTGACTTCACCGAATGCCATGTCTGCTGCCTGGGGTTGGAGTTTAAAGCTCTTTCATCAAATAAACACTTGCTTCCTCCAACAACAGCCTTTGCAGTTCATACCAGCATAGTAAGTTGGACACTGCTCACCATACAGCTGAGGGAAAACAGTACTTGGTAACTGGTTGTTACCACTCTACCAGCACTCCTCTAACTGGCCCCAGACCAAGAAAAGCAGAGTATGTGTTTGCATTTAGCTGTTCCTGATCAGCCTAACACCTTAGGAGGAACCCAAATCTGTCAAGCAGACAAGCTGGAGATGGTACCATACAGGATTCACAGACCTCATTTGTCAGAGCCCTGGCACAGTGTGACATCTTGAACCTTAACCACAGAGTGACTTTCAACTTTTTAGTGATAAGACAGAAAGTGACACAAGCCCTATGAAACTGCTGCAGCAGGAAGGGGATAAGAGATTAAATGAGCAAATGCGCAAGAAACCATTAATTCAATGCCCTAAGGCAGATCATGCCATTATTTGTTAGAAGCAAAGAGGACTGTATCTATTAGTGCTTCAACATGCTACTGAACTCATGTACAAGAGAACGTTAGGATATCCGCCAGCACGTCTCTGGAGCACCAAGTTAAGTACTGCATAAAAGGCTAGGTTCACATTATCAGGTGAACTGTCATGTATCTATGTAAATAAAAGCACAATCCCTCCCTGGTGTTGGAGTAGTGAACACCAGCGTGCTCCATGTATGCTCACACAAGTGCCATTCCCAAAGAGCTTCTTGTACTAGTTAGAGGCAACAGCTCTAAACCAAGGCACAGCACAGGTTTGCTCTGTGTGCTACAGGAACATTGCTGATATACTTTGCCATACATCTGAGACCAGTGAAAGGCTACCACCACATTACAAGCAGTTTCCTCACGTGAGAAAGGTACCAATTAGTCCAGTTTAAGATGGTCTCCAAAACACTTCATGATCTCACAGCCATTAGCGGAGTATTTTCAAAACGTCTTCAAATCGATCATTTTAGTTCAACCTTAGTAACTGTCTGGAATTAACTATGACACCCAAGTCTTGTGCTCTTCTCACCTAGAAACTGAGCAGAAACTTCGCCCCTACAAAGCACGTTTACTGCATAAACAGTCAAAAACCAAACCTGCTTTCAACCAGTTTGGTCTCAAATCTCATAACTGACTGAAGTGAAACCTCGGTGCGAATATAAAGCTTTAAGCCAGGACAGAGAAGACTGACACTGCTTTACCACAGGACAACGTCTTGTATCCCGGAGCCTCAAAGGCTCAGAAAGGCACCAAGTCAATTTCTGGGGTGAGCAGTGTTGTGTGGCCTCACTCCCTGCAGCCATCCCAGTGGAAGTCTGGGGCTGCACAAGGCTGAGTGCACATCCTCCCTCCAGTATACGATGGCAAACAGTCCCGCTTAGCATCCAGTGTAGTTTGTGAGTGAAGCAGCAAAGATCTGGGAAAGCAGCTGTAGAGATGCGAGTGCAGCACCTGACAGCTAAGGAAGCCATGCTTCCAAGAGGGAGGGATTTCAAAGCAGACCAAACACCATGCAACAACAGATAAGCAAACATCATAAAGAAATATGCAAGTTCCAAAGAATCTTCGCTATGACAAGACTTTCCTCCCACACACTGGAGGTTATCTGGATCTTCGGTGAGAACTTTGGTAAGATGGCCACAGCACATGACAACCGCATCATGTGTCCAGCTACCAAATGCAGTATTAAGGAGCCAAATACATTAAAGGCATCATCATTTTGCATTGTTTTTACCGTTCTCTATTACCACATTTATAGGTGCTTCAGGTTACTATCCACAGGTGCAATTTCTTCTTGTCTCCAAGTGAGAATTCTCTGCAGGGTGACTTTAAACTCTATTTGAACACACTCAGGCCTTCCCTATTGAGAGACTAAACAGCAGAACACAAAGTGTTCTTTGACAACCATGTCAAGTGCAAGGTCCCAGGCACAGCTACAGGTTGGGCAGAGAAGAGATACAGAGCAGCCCTGTGGAGAAGGACTTGGGGGTGCTGGTCCATGAGAAAATGAACATGAGCCGGCTTCAGTGTGCGCTCACAGCCCAGAAAGCAACCGTATCCTGGGCTGCATCAAAAGGAGCGTGACCAGCAGGTCGAAGGAGGTGATCCTGCCCCTCTGCTCTGCTCTCGTGAGACCTCACCTGGAGCATCGTGTGCAGTTCTGGTGTCCTCGACATAAAAAGGACATGGAACTGTTGGAACAAGTCCAGAGGAGGCCACGAGGATGATCAGGGACTGGAGCACCTCCTGTATGAAGATAGGCTGAGGAAGTTGGGGCTGTTCGGCCTGGAGAAGAGAAGCTGATGGAGACCTCAGAGCAGCCTTCCAGTATCTGAAGGGGGCCTATAGGGATGCTGGGGAGGGACTCTTCATTAGGGACTGTAGTGACAGGACAAGGGGTAACGGGTTAAAACTGAAACAGGGGAAGTTTAGGTTGGATATAAGAAGGAAATTCTTTCCTGTTAGGGTGGTGAGGCACTGGAATGGGTTGCCCAGGGAGGCTGTGAATGCTCCATCCCTGGTGGTGTTCAAGGCCAGGTTGGACAGAGCCTTGGGTGACATGGCTTAGTGTGAGGTGTCCCTGCCCACGGCAGGGGGGTTGGAACTGGATGATCTTAAGCTCCTTTCCAATCCTAACTATTCTATGATTCTAAGTGTGCCTAAGTCTGTGGTTCACATTAGCCAAGCTCAAAGTAACTGCAGGATGCAGAATTCCTACCCTCTCCCTGCTCTAGCTGTGTGCTCTCACCTCTACTGTGTGCTCATAAGATCCTGTCATGCTCCAGAGCAAACTCAAGCTTAAAACATCAGAAACTTCGGACTGCAGAATCTGACCCTTCAGTTATTCTACAAGTGAATAAAATGCTGCTAATGGAAAGATAATGAGTTTGACCCCTTCCTGTGGTCAGGGTCCCCAGGTGAACTGCTCACAGCTGCGAGAAGGGGAAAGCTTTCTCCACATGCAATAGTTCATTAAATATCTCCTTGGCTTTGCAGCAGTGTTAAGAGCACAGAGTATTAAATTTCAGTCCATGGAGTACAACAGCTCTGATCTCGCATCTTATTCCACACACTTGAAGACAGTCGAGAAGCCTGGGGTTTGAGAGGAAGCACTTTTTCCAACCTTGCAAGGTTTGAAGTGGAAGTTTTCTGCATCAATCTGAAAAGCAAAATATTTAGACTTTGTGTATTTCCATTTCCATCTAATTTCTTTCCTGAAGAGGCTAAATCATCTCCTAATTCTGTCAAGGAGGTCCCAAAACCCACTTGGCACAACAAGCCAAGTACTTTGCAAGCAATTGGAAGAAGGTAGAACACCGAGTACAGGAATCTTCCTTCTCCCACCTGAATCATGCAAATCACACCCAAGTTTTAACTGAAAGTCTAAACATATGGAAAGAAATAGCGAGAAGACTGCAGTCCTAACCACGAATTCCAAGTAACAGATTAGTAAAAAGGACTAGAAACAGCTCAGCAGTTCTTGTGTGTCTCATAAGGATTATGATTTACAAGACCTATTGTTAACTGGGATCAGTTTGTTGGCCACAGAACGCTAAGTAAAACGAACTGCACCAATTCAAGAGCTGCCTCTGCAGCACGATGAAAGCTTAGCCCAACACCGCTCTTTCCTGGTACTGACTTTGGCTCCCTGTCCCTTTCAAGTGCTCTGTTGTGAAACTCTTGCTGAAGCCACCCTTGTGTGATTCAGAGCACTATGACAACACAAGTGGCAAGACTAATTCTGCCGCACCCCAATTTCACTCCTAGTGAGAAAAAAGCAAACTAACTACAAGGAAGTTTTGAAGTAAACCTTTGAGCCATCTTCCTGCATGGCTGAAGTAACTCCATTCCTGTCTGTTCAAGATGATGCTCCCCATGTGCAGGGACAGCTTGGAAAGTGCTTTACAAACGCTTCAAGAAATCCAAGGCAAAGTGTTCATGCAGTTTTCCAATGCCTAAAATTGGATAGTATTCACTGTACTATTCACTATACTGCAGTCAGTGACTTCTAGTCCAGTGTGCATATCCCTCTATCAAGAGGAGGAAATGCACTGAAAATGATCACCCAGGCACTAAACAGTGTCCCTTTTGGGCTGTGCCATTTAACCACAATCAGAAGCATTGCATTCTCAGAAGCTTCAAGCAGCATTTGCATGCACTTGACACCTGTTAACAGGAAGAACTGAGGTCATTTTGGTCCACAAGTGACATCTCTCAAATAAAATCCTACTCTGTTAAATCTTCACCTCCTCTGAACAATTATGAACATCCTCCATGGTCCAGAACAACGGATTGTGGGAGTACACTTAAACTCTAAACATGTTACTGTAACTGCAGAAAGGCAACCAAGAGAACCACATGAAGCACACAGTCTCTTGGTCATTTTAAAGACTAAGTAAACAAGCTCCATCTTTATGTTAAAAGCTGTAAGTTATCAGTCTTAGCTCAAAAAGCAACAGAATTCCAAGCCTGCCAAACACAGCAAGTCAAACAAAGTATGTATGTAGCCATGAGTCCGATTATTGTTTCATCCTGTCTCTGTAAGAAATGCTATACTGTTTGCTCTAGCCAACCACTTCAGTGCTTACACTTACCTGCAGGAGGTGTTTTTAAGGGCTTTTACAAAGAGATCATTCCCCAAGATGCTCTTCTAAACCTCAATCATCATTAAGAATCAGCT